GGGCTACCACTGGCCATGGGTCAACCAGACGCGTGTTTCTTCGAAGCTCCAGGGGATCTCTTAAGGACATGGGAAGTTACCAGACACAGGAATTGGGGTGAGAAGTTGACTCCATAAGGGAAGATTAGCTCTTCTAGCTTGAAATTTAACAGGCATAAAGTGTTAAAATGGAATTAATTGTCTTGGTTTCTCCTTTAGTGTTATCTGGAGGACTTACAGATTTAAAACCACATGGCAATAGAAAAACAATTCAGCTGCAAGGCAGCAGGGAAGAGCCAACTGTCATTAATGTTATCGTGTGCTGGAAGGATGCCCCACGTCCCCTTCGAGCCAGCAGGTCACCGGAGGACAGCAGCCTCATCCTGCCACCAGCTGCGGGAGTTACTCCCTCGGCTTCAGTGAGAAAATCTGGGGTTGTGATAGCGATGGGAAGCGCTGTGTGGGTGGGCTTGGTGTCTGCGGTGCCCGTACACTTACATGTCCATCTAGAGCCCATTTGTCATTTTTAAACTTGTTGACAAAGACCTCCACTGGCCCTGTTATCTGGTAAACCTGGAGCAGCAGGTGCACATCATCTTTCTTGTAAATGCCTGAAAAATAAGCAGCTTTTAATCATTAGGTCACAACAACTCTCTTTGAGTTTGAAGTAATTCACTTTCTGCCTGAGAGTGCAATCAGCTCATCATCTTAGAATGGAGAACTACCAACCCAACCGGTGGGACACACCAGGAAACACACCACCAATGTGATCCTGTGTCCACCCCCAGGACACTAAAGGCATTCTGCACGTGCAAAGAGACTCAACGGCTATGTTTAGGTGATGTTGCTGGATAAGTAACAACCTGGTGGAGGATAAACCCATGGAGGGCAGGGACAAGGGGCTCTCACAGCTTTTACTCTCGTTTATCTTGGGCTACAAGCCCATCACTCCAGCACAAAGTAAAGGGCCGATGGACTGGGCTGAGCTGCCTTTCAGGTAGAGTCAAAGCAAACTCAGGTACAGGATTTTGTTTGTCTTGGTCCAACCAAAGATTGGAGACTTCAAAGCTGGGCGCTTCTGTAAAGCTCCATCTCTGACCAGGGTACAGCCCTGCCAACGGCCACGGCAGCTCCCTTACCGGACACCTGGAGCTCCACGCCGCTGTGGTCTATCAGAGTGGCGTTGACTTTACTGGTGACGGGGTCGAAGCTCGTGACAGACAGCATCGCAGGCTGCTTCTTCCCCATGTACTCATAGGAGCCTTTCCAAAGGGAATTCCTTGCAAACACATCGGCAGGCACTGGAAACCACAGCAATTGGGGATACAGAAAACAAGAACGTTGCCACTTATTTCCATTTTTCAGAAATCAAAATAGAGCAAGTTTCTTTCTTTCTTTGAATTCACAAATCCGCGTTTAAACATCTCAGATCCCACCCACTCTCTGTGTTACCACCACGGAGTACAAAGCCGAAGAGAGGAGAACAAACAAGCTGATGACTTTCATTTTGTTGTTCGGACAAAAAACAGCCTTGAAAGTTTTACAAACAAACCAACTCCCAAAATAATCTCCTAGGAAAAGCTAACCAAAAACCTTTTTTTTTTTTTTTTTCTTAAAAAAGGTCTAACGTAAGACATCCTAGAGGGCTCCAGTCCCCAGCATGCCCTGGGGAGGGCAGCGGACGTTGGTGCCCGACTCCCTCAAGGCTCCTGCCCGTTCTCCAGCGAGGCACAAACAGGAGGGAGCACACAGGTTGCTCCCACCAACCCAGCAGTTTCAAGACCTTCAAAGGTCCAGGTCTAGCACCAACACATCCCACGGAAGAGAAAAAAAAGCTACGGTACCTGACACCTTGGCGAGTGGTGGGTCCCGCGCGGTGCCAACCGGCCTCCCGCTGGGGCGGACATCAGCTGAAAGAGAGGAGGAGCAGACCACCGCCGGTCAACATTATGGCATCTGACGCTGCTGAGGTGCTCCTACTGTGCTGGTGCTCCCAGAGGACAGCCTTCGGCTGGCATCGCTCTCCCAGGTAACGTGGCTGCACAGCCCGTGTCCAAGGATGGGTTCCTGCCCCGCCACTGACACACACGAAGCTGTCACTCGCTGTCCTCCCCTGCCACCCGCTCCAAGGGTCCAGAGAGAGCCACCATGCTCCCTGAGAGCTCTGTTTCAAGATCAGACCATAGTGTGTTCCTGATCTAAGGCTCTGAGGTATGTATAAGGCAGGTGAGGCAAAGAACAATCCGTCTTGTGCAGATGCCTCTAGACCCAAGCCATCAGGCAGAAAATCCCCCAGAGCTGCCTCTCCCCTGGAGCTGCGGGCTCTAGGTCCAGCTCAGCGGTGCAAACACACGGCTCCTGGTGTGCTGGTGCTGGCCCAAGAGCTGTTCTCCCTCGGGCTGCAGGGATGCAGGCAAACGCAAACCCAGGGTCACGCTGCTCAGAGCTCTTACCGAGGCAAATGGGCGGTTTTCCCGTCCAGCTGCCGTCCGCTTTGCAGGTCCGATGCTCGGATCCTCCGGTGAGGTAGTAGCCGCTCTGACAGGAATAGATCAGGGTGTAGCCCAGGGATGGCAAATCCAGAGCACCGACGTTGGCGTGCGAGGGGGTCTCTGGCTGCTTGCAGTGGTGAGCTGCAAAGCACAAGGATAACGGGGATGAGAGACGCCAGCCAGTCGTACGGGGAAAGGCAGAGGAGTGACACCGTGATGTCAGCGGGGACAGAAATCCCTTAGAAGAGCTTTTTTCAGCAAAAGTTTTCTCTGCTCGCTGAGGGAGACAATGCCATGCCTGGATTTTTCCCAGCTGGATGAATTAATGAGAGTGCTCCCCATGTTCACTGGCTGGATTGCTCTTTCTCCCTAAAGCTCTCAGGGAGCTCCAGCTTCCACCAACTGAAAATCAGGCTCTGCCATCCCCCTCGTTTTAAGGGAAAAAAGTCAAAACCAAATGATGCTGAAGACGCCTTCCTCCTTCCTTGGAACTCTGGCCCCAGCACTGTGTCCCAGGTCTATCTGCAGACCAAAAACTGCGTTTACGGGACATCCAAACCCCGTAAATGAAGCCAGATTCCAGGGAGCGCATTACAGACCTGGTGTTGTATCATCTCTCTTCATAGCACCAGGGTCCTACTAATAATTTGCACCTACCTGTCTGTGGGATGTTCACAAGGTATTATCTTCATCCTTGTTTTACAGAAGATGAAACAGAAACCCCAGAAAGCTGAAAGACCAACCTGAGCTCACACGGTCTGGGAGCCCCGGCTGCCCCACTCGGAGGCGGCAGCTCCACACCCATCAGCGGTACCTGCATCCAGCTCCACGCTGTGGATGGAGAGAGCTCTACACAAAACCTACAAGCTATAACTCAGTAGTCCTTGCTGGCACGGGGAAGCCAAAACCATCTTCTATTTCAATGCACCCAGCACCGGGAGCAAAATCCCCCGTGCAGCCACAGCTGCACCCCCCTGCAGCCTTCCCGTTGAGCAGAGAGAGGCTGGGAAGCTGGGGACAGGCCCCCACCGCCTCGCTCTGCCTCCCAGAGCAGCCCCTCTCCCCTGATGCTACGGGTAAGGGTTTTAGAGGTGGCTGCCCCGGCACCTCCAGGGTTTGTTAGCAGAAAAAAGAAAAATCTCACCAACAAACCACCTCAGAAGGGAAAGGGCAAAGCTTTTTAATACTTCTAATACAGAGACCATGATGGATATTACTATTTAAATACATCCAGCTCCTCCTGGTGTAGCAGGGGAAAGATGATGGACAGCTTAAAAGAAAGAGCAACGCGTTATTGAAGAGGCACGGCTCTGCCGGAGAGCCCCTTGGCTAAATGTTAACCCTGGTCCCTGGAGCATGAGCTCACATCTCTGCCATCACATGCACAAAACAAAGGCTCACCTGAAACTATGTCTCTGAGTAAAAAAATTTTAGCTGAAATCAGAAGCGGCTGCTGGTGGAGTCATGTCAGGAGAGAAGTGATTGTGTGATCTCCTTTTTTTTTTTTTTAAAGACCACACTTTCTCAGAGCTCTCCCCTTCCATTACCAGCTCTCCAGGGCCAGCAATTTGCACGGTGAAGCAACAAGACAAAGCAGCAGCATGGCCAAAGGCACCTGCTTCCCTTGACAAAACCTCTCCCGAGACTTACGGACGCAGTCGGGCTGCACGCCGCTCCAGGTCAGGTTGGGGAGGCAGGTCCTGGTGGTGGAGCCCTGCAGCAGGTATCCCTTCTGGCACTTGAAGAAGATGATGCTTCCCACCTGGTTCGACAGGAGAGAAACCTCTGAACTCCCCAGGGCAACGGGATTCATGCTCTCAGAGCCCCAGGAAAGCTGCAGCCTTCACCTGTGCAGGGAGTTGCCTATTGCAGTGACAGAGGCAAGGCTGCTTTGCCTTCAAATACGCCCAAAGGCCACATCAAACATAGGAGATACCAGAAACGGCTGAAACATTTGGCAAAAGGGAAATTCAAAATAACTACAAACATCCTGTCGCTACACTATAAATGCCTATTTGGATTGTTAATAGCAAAAAGGGTCACAAAGCCTGAAATCTGACTTTTCAATGTTTTTGAAGTATGCTTACCTTTTCTAGACTATTTTTTTTTTTCCATTTGGTTTCAACCAAACCATTACTGTACAACAGAGCTCACTCCCTGCTTCACACAGGTTGGCAGGATGCTGCTTCTCGCCTGTGAGCCCCGTTATTGCAACTGGATTTGCTTTAAAACCAGAATATGCTGGAATAAAACTGCCTGGACTCTCGCCTGGCTGCTGTGGTCCCAGGGTGCCGCGGCCAAAGGCACCGCGTCCCCGTGACACTGCTCCAGCCACCCCCCATCCTCTGTACGAGCACCGGAGGCGGCTCCGCTGCGGCGTGCAGCTCTCAGACCAGCAACGCTTACAGAAGTCAGGCTTACGGTGTCTCAGTATTAATTAAAAACAAGAATTAATTCATTAAAACCCAGGATTAAGATAACTAATTAGCAGCAAAACGGAAAGATCCTCTCCAGCAGGAACAGCCGCATGGAATCGCCGATCCCGGCCCCGCGCCCGGCTCCAGCACAGCAGGGAACGGGCACCCGCGGGGACACAGCGAGGCTGGAGATGGAGAACCTCAGGGAATCGCTTTGGGTTGGGGTTTTTTTTTTTTCCCCCTCTCTCTTTTCTACTGATTTCATACTGTACAGGTGGCTGAGATTAAGAAAACCACCTACAGAATTTGGTCTGGAAACGAATGGAAATTATATCTCCAGTATGAACACTAATTACACTAATAACTACTAATTAGCACCGTAATTAATATAATAAATAACGCATTGCTAGCTAATCCCCTACAAATGCACTCTGAGGTCTAAGGGAGCACGCCAGGATGTCCTGCTCACGGGAAGACACATTAATCCACGTTAGGACCAGGACACGGACTAAGCACCGCAAGCATCGGGGCGCAGCCGAGGGCACCCCGCTGCCCTGACCCTACCTGGTAGCCCTGGGAGTTGTTCTGCATCCCAAAGAGCGGCACGCCGGGGTCGGCGCATGTCGTGAGGCTGGGGTCTTAAAAGAGAAGAAGAGAGGCAGTGCTTTAGAGGAGTGGTGGTGCAAGTCACATCAGAGCTCTGCCTTCTCCCGCTCCGCACAGTCTGGGCTGCGCCTTTGCAACGAGACAGAAATATTTTGCTACAGAAGGAATACATAGCAACAAGGAAAAATACACGGATCTTTTTGTTTCTTCAATCCCTGACTGCTGCAACACACACTAACCAGAGGCACTCTGCCACCCAGGAGAAAACACAAGAACATAAATCTTGTGTCAGGAACAACCCTCTTCCCTTCCCCACTGCACACCACGAGCGAAGCGCCCGGCTCAGCAGTGCTGTGCCCCCCGCTGCCACCCGC